AAAAAAAAAAAAAAAAAAGAAAGGGTCTCCCAGAATAAATTCATCTGAACATGCATCCTTCTCTGAGCCGTCTGACTCTTCAGTATTCTCACACCTGTCTGGCATCTCCATGATATTTTCCACTGATCACCACTGTCCAATAGAAATATAATGTCAGCCACATGGGCACACTTTTCACTCTTTCTAGTAGACACAATAAAAAAATGAAAAGATGGCCGGGCATGGTGGCTCATGCCTATAATCCCAGCACTTTGGGAGGCTGAGGTGGGTGGATCACTTGAGGTCAGGAGTTCAAGAGCAGCTTGGCCATCATGGTGAAACCCCGTCTCTACTACAAATACAAAAAAATTAGCTGGGCGTAGTGGTGGGTGCTTGTAATTCCATCTACTTAGGAGGCTGAAGCACAAGAATTGCTCAAACCTGGGAGGCGGAGGTTGCAGTGAGCCGAGATTGCACCACAGCACTCCAGCCTGGGCAACAGAGTGAGACCTATGTTAAAAAAAGAAATGAAAGAAAAGAAGAAAAAAAAAAAAAAAGAAAGAAAGAAAAGGAAGGAAGGAAGAAAACGAGAAAAGAAGATAAACAGGCAAAATGAATTGGAATAATATATTTTATTTAACCCAGCATATCCAAAAATCCTATCACTTTAACAAGTACAACTACCCTATTTCCCTCAGAATGTAGTATTGCCTCTGGTTTGCTGTGGATCTTGTATTAAACCACTCAGCTGTGGAGTCCTGTGGGATCCAAGCTTCAAGGAGACCCATCATGCATGTTTAGGACCAGTTCCAAGTGTCCTTGACATGACGCTAAACCTCCGTTTCCTTTTTCTTTTTTGGAGACGGAGTCTGACTCTGTCGCCCAGGCTGGAGTGCAATGGTGCGATCTTGGCTCACTGCAACCTCTGCCTCCCAGGTTCAAGCGATTCTCCTGCCTCAGCCTCTCAAGTAGCTGGCATTACAAGCATGTGCCACCATCCCCGGCTAATTTTTGTATTTTTAGTAGAGACAGGGTTTCGCCATGTTGGCCAGGCTGGTCTTCAACTCCTGACCTCAAGTGATCCGCCCACCTCGGCCTCCCAAAGTGCTTGGATTACAGGCCTGAGCCACCTTGCCTGGCCCTCCTTTTCCTGATGTAGTCTTAAATCCACATTCACCGCCTTAGCGCGCTCAGACCCACGCTGCTGTAGGCTCCCCTGGCTCCTGGAGGAGTCCTCCTGCAGTCTTTGTGTGGCTCAGCATCAGGAACTGCCCTTCCACCGTCAGGCTCCGCTGAGACCCGACCCTGGTTATTAAGCTATAAGGGAGACAGGGGTGGATCTTAAAGAAGACAAGCAAAATATAGTGAAGCAAATAAAATGGTGGTTCCCAGGGGCTGGGGTCCGGGGACAATTAGGAGTGACTGGCTAACGGGTACAGCGTTTCAGTTTGGGAAGACAAAAAAGTTCTGGAAAAAAGATGGAAAGTGGTGATGGTTGCACAATAATATGAGTTTTGTTTTTGTTGTTTTTTGAGACAGTCTCTCTCTGTCGCCCAGGCTGGAGTGCAGTGGTATGACCTAGGCTCACTGCAACCTCTGCCTTCCAGGTTCAAGCGATTCTTGTGCCTCAGCATCCCGAGTAGCTGGGATTACAGGCACCACCACCACACCCAGTTAATTTTTGTATTTTTAGTAGAGATGAGGTTTCACCATGTTGGCCAGGCTGGTCTCAAACTACTGACCTCAAGTGATTTGCCTGCCTCGGCCTTCCAAAGTGCTGGGATTACAGGTGTGAGCTATTGTGCCGGTCAATATGAATGAATGTTTTTAATCCCATTGAATTACACACCTAAAATTGGTTAAAATGGTAAATTTTATGTTAGGTATAACTTACCACAATAATTTAAAAAATATTGTGAGGCGCCTGCCTCATGTGAGGTCTTCTAAGAAGAGGGGCTGTTCTCCTTCTCAAGAGAGCTTGCAGGCTTTGGGAGTTTCATATTCTCAAATGTCCATATCCCAAGGCCTACCCAGCCCCTGTCAGTGTCAGAAGTTAGCAGAACAGAACTGCTAGACGTGCTCATTCCATCTCCTCCTTGGTTGCCCCACCATTTTGATCCGATCCTGGAACTGGCTTTCAGCACAGTCTTCCAGCTGGCTGTGACAAATGAGGGTGGCTTAAACCCTATCCTTGGGGTTTCACAGCTTGCCCTGAACTGGTAGCCTCTCATTTTCTCCTTGCAAAGCTTCTAAGGCAGCTAAGAGAAGCCAACTAGCTTCACAATCCACATAATTAGCATTGCCCCAAACTTTTCAAGTGCTGGAATGCTGGCATTCACTGCCTCTTTTCTTTCTAAACCTCATTCCACATGGCAAGGGAAGGTCTTAGGAACTGTGGAGCTGTGGTGTGCTAAGGGTTCTCACTGCCTACCTATCACCAGCAAGGGAGTCCTTGTTGCCATCCATTCCTAGGGGTTCATTTGTTCCCTGAGGCTGCTTTCTAGGGCCTTCTGGTCCTGTCTTTTATCCTGGACTAGACCTGAAAGCAGAGCCTGAAATAAGGCCTTCTGTGCAAATCATTTACGTAGGAGGTGGCCCTAGGAAGCAGGCCCAGTGCGCCACAGGAAAAGCCAGTACAGGGTGTTTTGCTGAGTTGCGCACTGTGGTGGGCAGCTGGATGTGAGTCCACTGGAATCTTCTGAAGAGTCCAAGAGCCTCTTCTCAGTATTGTCCACTTGAGGATTGATAGTGAGAGGTATTTATCCATTGGTGTCCAGCCCTCATTGGTTGAGGATCATCCCAGGAAGTGACACCTCCCCCACTTCTAGACTAGCATGTGGGTATTCCAAGCAGGCTTCCCTCAGTGTCTCACCCCAGGCACTGCAAACACCCCAGGACAGAAAGTGAACATGTGTATTATGCAGTTGAAGCAAGAAGCTATCAGTGTGAAGTGAGTAGACCCTCAGATGCAGCTGGGTCAGAGGGAAGGCCCAGGGATATGACGCAGGACACAGAGGTGGCTGATACACCACCTCCCAACATTTCCTCTATCACAACAACTACAACAATGGCAACAATAGGGCTGGGTGTGGTGGCTCACGCCTATAATCCCAATACACTGGGAGGCCAAGGCAGAAGGATTGCTTGAGCCCAGGAATTCAAGACTAGCCTGGGCAATGTGGCAAAATCCTGTCTCTACAAACAATACAAAAATTAGCCAGGCATCACTGCCACTAAAATTAGCATGTCTGTAGGCCCAGCTACTCAGGAGGCTGAGCTGGGAGGACTCCTTGAGCCTGGGAGGTCAAGGCTGCAGTGTACCACTGCACTCCAGCCTAGGCAAGAGAGTGAGGCCCTGTCTCAGTAGGTAAATAAATACATTAATTAATTAAAAATGACAACAATAATATATGTATTGAGCTTATAGCATGTTCCAGGTACTAAGTGCTTTGTGTGCCTGTCCTCGTATAGTCCCACAATATCTCTTTGGGGCAGGTACTTTTTTTCTTTTTCTTTTTTTTTTGAGACGGAGTTTTGCTCTTGTTCCCCAGGCTGGAATGAAATGGCGCGATCTTGGCTCACTGCAACCTCTGCCTCCCGAGTTCAAGCGATTCTCTTGCCTCAGCCTCCTGAGCAGCTGGGACATGACACCACACCTGGCTAATTTTGTATTTTTAGTAGAGATGGGGTTTCACCATGTTGGCCAGGCTGGTCTCGAACTCCTAATCTCAGGAGATCCACCTGCCTCAGCCTACCAAAGTGCTGGGATTACAGGTGTGAGCCACCGTGCCTGGCCTGGGGCAAGTACTCTTATTTCCCTCTTTTCATACAAAACGAAACTGACTCACAAGTTCATTCAGCTAACACCTGTTGGAAACAGGAAAGGAACTCAGATCTGAGTGACGCCAGAGCCCACACTTCTTTTCTTCTTCTTTTTCTTTTTTTTTTTGGGGGGGGGGACAGGGGCTCACTCTCTTGCCCAGGCTGCAGTACAATGATGGGATCACAGCTCACTTCAGTCTTGACCTTCCTGGCTCAAGTAATTCTCCCACCTCAGCCTCCTGGGTACCTGGGGCCACAGATGCATGCCACTATGCCTGGCTAATTTTTGTATTTTTTTAGAGACGGGGTTTTGCCACGTTGGCCAGGCTGGGCTCAAGCAATCCTCCCACCTCAGCCTTAAGCCCAGGCTTAAGCTACTGGGCTCAAGTAATCCTCCCATCTCAGCCTCCCAAAGTGTTGAGATTACAGGTATGAGCCACCACACCGGGCCAAGCCCACACTTCCAACCACTACCTTGTTAACATTCCAGAATGGACAACTGGATATTGAGGGCTTATTGGATCAGAAAAGTCATCAGATCAGAATTATCAAGATCAGCAAGGATGCAGGGACCTGGGGCCCACACATGCTCCCTGAAGATGCCCCTTTGTCAAGTGGCAAAGCCAATGGGAGGAAAGTGGCAGAGATCACCCAAACAGGCAGAAGGAAGCACCGTCATGCGTTGCTTAATGACAGAGATAGGTTCTGACAAATGCGTGTCATTAGGCAATTCCACTTGTGCACACCAGTGTATTTACACAAACCCAGATGGTATCCACTACTCCACACCTGGCTATACGGTAACCTATTGCTTCTAGTCTACACACCTGAAGCCATGTTACTGTACTGAATACTGGAGGCAATTGCAGCACAATGGTATTTTTGTATCTAAACATAGAAAAGCTGCAGTAAAAATATGGTATGATTTTAGGGGCCACTGTCACATACCTGGTTCGTGGTTGACTGAAACGTTGCTAGGCAGTACGTGACTGCATCTGAAAAATGCATGCAGAGGAGGGCTGGGCATGGGCAATGGTTATGGACAAGGAGGTAGGTTGTGTGAGTATTCAGGCCTGTGGGCAGGATTCATGATTGTGTGAGGCCAGGGGACATCCAGGTAGGCACAAGAACGCATGTTGGCACACACAGGCCCTGGCCAGGTGGTAGAATCTTTTTTTTTTTTTTGAGACAGAGTCTTGCTCTGTCGCCCAGGTTGGAGAGTGCAGTGGCGTGATCTCGGCTCACTGCAACCTCTGCCTCCCAGGTTCAAGCGATTCCCCTACCTCAGCCTCCCGAATAGCTGGGATTACAGGCATGCACCACCACACCCGGCTAATTTTTGTGTCTTTGATAGAGATGAGCTTTCACCATGTTGGCCAGACTGGTCTTGAAATCTTGACCTCAAGTGATCCACTCACCTTGGCCTCCCAAAGTTCTGGGATTACAGGTGTGAGCCACCGCACCCGGCCAGGTGGCAGAATCTTGACTCCAAGAGAGTTCTGACAAAAGAAATAAAATATCATAGCCTTGAAATAATATTTAACATTTTAAAGGTAAGCTTTCTCCATTCGCACTTCTGACACCAAATGTGTGGGTTTTTTTCCACACCGAAAACCAATTCTCCAACTCTCTGGACACCAATAATTCAATCCCGACATTAACTATCAGGAGTACTATCAGACCCCATAGGTTAAGGGCTCAGTCCTACAAGACTGCCCCCCAACTCAGATGCCAATCACAAGTCGAGAAGGCTGAGGTATGAGGATCACTTGAGCCTAGGAAGCAGAGGCTGCAGTGAGCCGAGACTGCACCACTGCAGTCCAGCTGGGGTGACAGAGCAAGACCCTGTGTCAAAAAAAAAAAAAAAAAAGCATAGTATTGGTATATGAGGTATTGGTACATAACTGAACAAGTAGAACAATGGAACAAAAAGTCCGGATATAGTTCTAAATATATACAGTAACTTAGTATAGGATAAATATGGCATCTTAAATCAATGGGGAAAAGATGGATTATTCAATATATTGTAAAAACTTGAGAACCACATCAAAAAAGTTGGTCCCCTACCTCATTCTTTACAACAAAATTAATTCAGATAGATGTGGTCACAGAAGTGCTAGAAGAATATGCGGGGGATTTAAAAATAATCTTGAGGTGGGGAAGACTTTTATGGGTATGACTCACAACCCAGAAGACATAAAAGATTGTTAAATTTAATTAGATAAAACATTTAATTAGATGAGACATTTAAAAATTACATTTAGAAATCATAAACTAAATCCAAAGAATAACTAGGGACCGGCCGCAGTGGCTTCCATCTGTAATCCCACGAGGCAGGTGATCACCTGAGGTCGGGAGTTTGAGACCAGCCTGGCCAACACGGTGAAATCCTGTCTCTACTAAAAATACAAAAATTAGCTGGGTGTGGTGGTGCACACCTGTAGTCCCTGCTACTGGGGAGACTGAAGCATAAGAATTGCTTGAACCTGGGAGGTGGAGGTTGCGGTGCGGCAAGATAGTGCCACTGCATTCCATCCTGGGCGACAGAGCAAGACTCCATCTCAAAAAAAAAAAAAAAAGAATAGGGAGAAAACACCATGATGTGTTGCATAATAACATTTCAGTCATTCATGGACCAAATATAAAACAGGGGTCCCATAAAACTATAATACCATGTTTTTACTGTACCTTTTCTATGTTTAGACACATTTAGATACACAAATATTTACCATTGTGCTACAACTGCCTAGTGTTCAGTAGCATGCTGTACAGGTTTATCCCTAGGAGGAACAGACTATCCCATACACCCTAGGCATGTAGCAGACTATGCCATCTAAGTTTGTGTGAGTACACGCTATGATGTTCAAACAGTGACCTCCACCGTTAAGCGATGCATGACTGTATTTTGAGCCCAGGTCTCAGATACTGTATGAAGTTTCATAATATTATGAGCTTTTACAAATCATTAAGAGAAAGACCAATAAACCAGTAGAAAACTGGGAAAAGGTGGCATCTGCAGGGTAACACCAGGGCAGCACAGAAATCTTGCTGGGATGAGGAGTTGCAAACATGTGTGGTCGACCTTTTGGCTTTCTGCCTCTTCTACTCTCAGGGATGGCGAATCATGACCTAAAGAAGTTGTCTTTTCTCAGTGTTGCTGCTTCTCAAGGATTTAAAGGGGAGACCTGACCAGAGGAATGATCAACAGTGGATTTGTGATGCCTGGAGCTCATTTCCTTCTTTCTCCTTAACTGTCCTGGAAGGAAACGGACTAGTGCCTTATCGCTGACTCTTCCACAGCACACACCCACCACCAGAGACAGTAACTGAGATCTGCAGTAGCACAGAAACTTAGAGGTTAGAAAAATTAGACACCTAAGGATTTCATGACTCCAGACCTGTTTCCTTAGCATAATACCACACCAGTAAGTGAAATACAACTTACGAAATTTTGTAAATAAATTCTATAAAATTTTTGGTAAAAATTTATCATTACAAAATTATTAAAAGCAATTGGGTTGGAAGGAAGTTCTGTCAAAATACAATCCAGGTGTGCAGTTCTCTGCTAAATTTAGAAGTGGTTACTACTGAGGCAGTCTCAAAAAAAGCATAGGAGGACTTTATGGGGTGATGCAAATTTTCTACATTGCCTTTGTAGAGATGGTTATACATTTGTCAATACTCATTAATTTGTACATTTAAAAGAGGTAAATTTATTGTATGTAAATTGTATCTTAATGAAACTGATTAAAACACACATACAAACCCCAGACCCTCTGCAGTCCTGAATTTGAATGGAAAATATTGGTGTGAACTCATGATGAATTTTTTATTTTATTTATTATTATTATTTTGGAGATGGAGTCTCACTCTGTTGCCCAGGCTGGAGTGCAGCGGCGTGATCTCGGCTCACTGCAACCTCTGCCTCCCAGATTCAAGCAATTCTCCTGCTTCAGCCTCCCAAGTAGCTGGGATTACAGGCACCTGCCACCACGCCTGGCTAATTTTTGCATTTGTAGTAGAAATGGGGTTTCACCGTGTTGGCCAGGCTGGTCTCGAACTCCTGACCTCAAATGATCCACCTGCCTTGGTCTCCCAAAATGCTGGGATTACAGGCGTGAGCCACTCCGACCGGCCTTATATTTTATTTTCTTTTGAGACAGGGTCTTGCTCTGTTGCCCAGGCAGGAGTACAGTGGTGTGATCCAGGCTCCCTGCAGCTTTGATGCCCCGGGCTCAAGCCATCCACCCCCATCAGCTCCCCGAGTAGCTGGGACTACAGGCCTGAGCCACTATGCCTGGCTAATTTTCAAAGTTTTTTATTAGAGATGTGGTCTATGTTGCCCAGGCTGATCTCAAACTCTAGAGCTCAAGTGATCCTCCTGCCTCAGCCTCCCAAAGTGTTGGGATTAGGTATGAGCCACCACATTGGCCACATCTGGCCAATTTTTTTTTTTTTTTTCCAGGGAGGAAATACACACTCTCCTATGTTTGCTAGCTGTTAATACTGGAAAGGCCTAGAAACAAAGATCGTTTTCTATCAATGAGCATTCCTAGTACCCAAAGTATGGTGTCCACTTTTTTCCAATTAAAAAAAACCCAGAGCTCCTTGGAATAACATGGAAATATACAATCTCTACAGTAGTTATTAGATAGCAAGGAAATTATCAAAGACTAGTAAGGTGTGTCAAAAAGACTTGAGGCTGGCCAGGCGCAGTGGCTCACACTTGTAATCCCAGCACTTTCGGAGGCTGAGGGGGCAGATCACCCTGAGGTCAGGAGTTCGAGACCAGCATGGCCAATATGGTGAAACTTTACTAAAAATACAAAAAATTAACCGGGTGTGGTAGCGGGCGCCTGTAATCCCAGCTACTCAGGAGGCTGAGGCAGGGAGGCTTGAACCCGGGAGGCAGAGGTTGCAGTAGGCCAAGATCACACCATTGCACTCCAGACCGTGTGACAGAGCAAGACTGTTTCCAAAAAAAAAAAAAAAAAAAGACTTGAGGCCAACTTGAAGAGGCTCCCATTGGCCAAAGATGGGACAATCTGAGCATCAAAAGGAATAACTTTAAAGAATCCAGCATTTATCCTACCTTTCCCATACCTCTACGTAAGCAAATACTCGGTGAGAAGCTTTTCTTCATAGAAGTACTCTAGCAAACAGCTGGGTGCGGTGACTCACGCCTGTAATCCCAGCACTTTGGGAGGCCAAGGCAGGCGGATCACCTGATGTCGGGAGTTCGAGACCAGCCTGACCAACATGAAGAAACCCTATCTCTACAAAAAATACAAAATTAGCCAGGCATGGTGGCGCATGCCTGTAATCCCAGCTACTCAGAAGGCCGAGGCAGGAAAATCACTTGAACCTGGGAGGCAGAGGTTGCAATGAGCCGAGATCGTGCCATTGTACTCCAGCCTGGGCAACAAGAGCGAAACTCCATCTCAAAAAACAAAACAACAAAAAAAACCCCAAAAAAGTACTCTAGCAAACAAAGAAGGAAGAGAGAAAATCACCATTTTGCAAGCTTTAATGAACTCACCACTTGAGGTATTATTAATCAGTGGTTGCTGGCAACTCCAAAAAAGAAATAACCAGACACTCACTACTACCACTTCCTTTTTTTTTTTTTTTTTGAGTTTTTTGAGACGGCGTCCCACTCTGTCACCCAGACTGGAGTACAATGGCGCAATCTCGGCTCACTGCAACCTCTGCCTCCTGGGTTGAAGTGATTCTCCTGCCTCAGCCTCCCGAGTAGCTGGGATTACAGGCACCCGCCACCACACCCAGCTAATTTTTTGTATTTTTAGTAGAGACAGCGTTTCACAGTGTTGGCCAGGCTGGTCTCGAACTCCTGACCTCAGGTAATCCACCTGCCTTGGCCTCCCAAAGGGCTGGGATTACAAGTGTGAGCCACCACGCCTGGCCAACTCAGTGCTATTATTTCATCTCTTACCACTTAAAGTTTTTTCTAAACAGGAGAATTATAAACCAAGTCTCAGATACCATAAACTTATGTATCTGTCAGAGGATTTTTTTAGAAAGAAAAATATAAACACCATTATCACACCCAAGAAAATTGTAAATAACTCCTTGATATCATGTAGTGTTATTTTTTTAATGTGATAATGGTGTGGTTATTAACAAAAGATCCTTAAATAAAATATTTCCAGATTAAATGGTATCTGCTCTCTGCCTTGCAATAATATTCGAGGAGGCCAGGTGAGGTGGTTCATGCCTATAATTCCCATATTTTGGGAGGCTGAGACAGGAGGACCACTTGAGCCTGGGAGTTTGAGAGCAGCCTGGGCCACATAGTGAGACCCTGTCTTGTATATTAATAAACCAATTTAAATAAATAACTGAAATAATATGGAAGGGTGATATTAGTGGATGAGGTGGGACTGGCCAAAGGTTGGCTGTTGTTGGTGCTAAATCAATTTAAATAAATAACTGAAATAATATGGAAGGGCGGTATTGGTGGATGAGGTGGGACTGGCCAAAGGTTGGCTATTGTTGGTGCTAGATAATCAGTACACGGGATTAGTACTATTAATTATATGTCTGTTTTTAAAATTCTCCATAAAAAAAAAAAAAAGCATAAAATAACCAAAACGAGGCTGGGTGCAGTGGCTCACAATTGTTATCCTACCACTTTAGGAGGTCAAGGCGGGAGGACTGCTTGAGGCTTGGAGCGCAAGACCAGCTTAGCCAACATGGTGAGACTGTGTCTCTACAAAAAAATTAAAATTAAAGTTAAAAATAAAAAAGAGAAAAACCTACCAAGTAAAATCAATTAAGATAAGTTAGCCAAACTTTTGAAATATTTTACAGGCACTGTCAGTTGGAATTTCTGTCAAGTTGGTAACAACGGGATATTTTACACAATCATATCAACACAGAAAAGATTTCTTATAAACATAGATATTAGACAGGAAACAAACCGCAATAGATGACATCTAACATATATTTTAGTTTGCTTTTCAAAAATCCATAAATACTTTAAGTTTTAAAAGTTTATTTTTAGGTTAATTTTTGATACCTGACAGTATAGATGTGGCAGATTCCATAGAGACCTTTTCCTTCCTGGTAACAAAGCCCATTTCTGAGAGAGGAAGATCCTATCGCAGCCTCAAGGAATAAATTGTTTGATCTAAATCATTTTCATTCCCTTGGATAGTAATTTGTCTAGAAATCATCATTTGACTTAGTTCTGACCAAAGAGATGTAAAGACATCTTCCAACTGGGATGTCTGGAAAAGTTTTTACTTTCCTAATTTAAAAGGGAAGAGTCTTGGCTGACTAGCTCTTGTCTCTTTAACTTTTCTCCTAACTAGATACACAGCCACTTATGATCCTGAAGCGACAATTCTAAAGATAAACACCAGCGTACAAAAAGATGGCAGAACAGAAAGGAAGTGCCTGGGTCCCTAACTATAGGAACAGTAATACTCGCTTTGGACAGTCTACCCTGTAGAGTTCTTGTATATGAGAAAAACAAACCCCAATTTGCTTAATCCAGTATAGATTTTTGTTTCTTGTAGCTGAACATATTCCTGATACAATGAAAGACATCAAAAATATAAACACTGAATGAAAGCAAGCACCACAAATGTCCACTTCATAAGTGCAAAGGGGCTAGAAATAAATCTGAGTGAACATAAGACAACCAAATTAGGAAAGAAGAATATTTATTATACAAATATAAAAATCTATACATTCTTAGCAGATGATATATACTTAATCAAAAAGTCTTTTAATTTGGATATATGCATCATTTCCTTCATTGTCGTGTCTCTGCTTCTCAGATGTATTAATCCATTCTCCAAAGTAGTTTCAGTGATCAAAACTGTGAAGAGGATACTCATTTCATCATACCTAAGAACAAAGTAGTTAAACAGACACATGAGCACAAATGTAAATGATAAATTCCTCCATGTTGCCAGCTGTCATGCCAGTGTCCATGCACTCTCAAGAGTCACAAACTCAGTCAGGGCTTGAGGGTGACCAAAAAAACCCAACATTTGTAAAGTTCTGAATCGTATTTAAAGTAAACTTTTCAGACAGTTTCTAACTTATTGCTAGAGCTGAAAAGTCATAAAATAAAATCAAATCTGAGAATAAACACTGGTACCTCAACACATCATTTGGGCATTTGGGGCGATATCACAGATGAACCTCATAATCTCTGCCTTTTGGTTCTTGGACGCAATCTGAGAACAATTATTTTAGACGGAAGTCTCTTACAATAAACAGTATTATAATAAAGATGCAATTTGGTATAACAAATTATACGGAAGTCTCTTACAATAAACAATATTATAATAAAGATGCAATTTGGTATAACAAATTATACCAAAATCATGTTTCATTTATTACTGAGTATGTTAGCTTATAGCTTCTAGTTCAGTAATAACCAAACAGACAGACGCACAGCTGACCTTCTGTATGCTTACCAAGTCACACTATCTCATTACTGTTTCTTTCTTTTGTAGGACTCCATCAGAAACTTTTTATTTCTCTGTTTATTGTCTATTTTGTCCTCCTAGAACATAAGCCATAGTATGGCCAGGCGTGGTGGCTCATGCCTGCAATCTCAGCACTTTGGGAGGCCGAGGTGGGCGGATCACGAGGTCAGGAGTTCGAGACCAGCCTGGCCAACATAGTGAAACCCCATCTCTATTAAAACTACAAAAAATTAGCTGGGCATGGGGTGCCTGTAATCTCAGCTACTAGGGAGGCTGAGGCAGGAGAATCACTTGAACCCGGGAGGCAGAGGTTGCAGTGAGCCGAGATCACACCATTGCACTCCAACCCGGGAGACAGTGTGAGACTCTGTCTAAAAAAAAAAAAAAAGAATAGTAAATTTTTCTATATTGTTCACTACTATATCAAAGTGCATAAAATATAGTAGGTGCTTAATAATATTTTCATAAAAATATCCTGGGACAATAAAACCTTTACCATATAAAGAACAACCACAACTTGATAATGTCCACATGGCTCAAAGTATAAGATTTTAGAACCTGAGAGGACAAGAAAGTTCAAGTGCTGCCCCTTCATTTTATATGTAATAAAACCATTAGATGCTCTAATTATAGAAAACTACTTTTCTTTGGACATCATCTGAAAGGTGTATTTTTTTTTTTTTTTGAGAAGGAGTCTTGCTCTGTTGCATAGGATGGAGTGCAGTGGCTCGATCTCAGCTCACTGCAACCTCTGCCTCCTGGGTTCAAGCAATTCTCCTGCCTCAGCCTCCCAAGTAGCTAGGACTACAGGCACAAGCCACCATCGTTGGGTAATTTTTTTGTATTTTTAGTAGAGACGGTGTTTCGCTATGTTGGCCAGGTTGGTCTTGAACTCCTGACCTCAGGTGATCCGCCCACCTCGACCTCCCAAAGTGCTGGGATTACAGGTGTGAGCCACTACGCCTGGCCTGGAAGGTGTATTTTAATAAATTTTCAGAGAACTGAAGATCAAAACACAATGCTTCACAACTTTTCACCCAAAAGATACGCATTCAACGCAAAAAGTTTTAAAAAAATAACAAGAATGGATTATTTAAAAACAACAATTAATGAAATAGCATGGGGTGAGACTAGACACAGACAGCTCAATTAGGAGATGATTTCAATAATCCAGGCAAGAGATATTGTTGACTCTAGCTTGGGTAGTGGCAGCGAAGACAGAGATGGATTTGAGATACATTTAGAAGGCAAGCTTACAGCATTTGGTGATGGACTAGATATAGAGTATAAGGAAGAAGGAGGAGTTAAGGATGACAGCCAGTTTCTCTGTCTTGAGCAATTGGGTGAACAGAGGTGCCAATCCCTTAGAAGACTAGAATAGACTATCCCTCCAGAATAGAATTCCTTTCCACTCAGTCTCGGAATGGACCACAATGCCAGCAAAGACAGGCATTCCACTCATATTCCTTCAGTCTTGATTCAACACATGCTGTCTACATACATACTTTCATCCATAAGTGGATAAGCTGAGGTATACAAACTTCATGCCATTAAGTCTTGGAACTGCACATGGCATGTGCTCAAACACACTTTGCTGAATCCTGTTCCCTGCTGTAGCAATGAACTAAGTATACATAGTTCTGTAAAAAGGGAAGTGAGGAATAATTTAAAATTATATTTTATATATAAATTTAGAAGAGATTTGTTTCTGTAATTCATAAAGAAACATAATCAAAAACTGTTGAAGAAATACACTCTTTAATGATAATACAAGTCTTACTTTGAATAAAGTTGTTCCAATGAGGACTGCATAGTTTCCAAATAACCAGGCCACACAGAAATTCCATTTTCTAGTAACTCATTAAACAGCCCTTGACAAACCTAGAAAGAAATAGAAAAACTTCAAATATGAAAGAAATAATGGTAGTTAGAGTGATTATCCTATTTTTGTGAAGCCACAGATCACCCTCTTCAATCTGTAAAATGGGTATGTTTCTTTATGTGATGTTAATGTTTATAACTTCCATATCATATACTTCATAAATTGTATACCTCTGAAAATGAAGTAAGCATTGCAAAGCTGAGTACTAAATGCCAATCTTCTGAGAAATCTGTATGCCAAATAAGAATTTTTATTATCATCATTCAAAACACAAAATCAAAACAGATTCTGTCAGAAAAAACACCAGGAGATGCAAAGGGCTGTATGAACTCAGAGCCCTCATCTGAGAGGTGAGACCTGAGCCCTAGGTTATACCACCAAGTCAGGAAGAGGAAGAAGAGCCAGGAAAGAAAAAGGATGAGGAAAAGGAGAGGAGGACTCCAGAAGCCAACCATGGAAAATGTTTCCAGACTGATCAACCAATTTCACATGAATGCTGGAGACAAAAGCTTGACTGGAAATACAGAAGTAATGATGAATAAATGACATAGTAAACTTTACTGTTTTCTTAACAAGCAATAGGGAAGCAAAACAAAGCATAATTTAAAACCCCCTTAACAGTCTAGCACCAACAGTCCAGAGCAGGGTTCCTTACCCTGGCACTGCTGACCCAGGGTGTTTAGCAGCATTCCTGGCCTCCAGGTGAGGCCCGCAGCACCCTCCCGCTCTTAGGACAACCACAAATCTCTCCAGACATTACTAAATGGTGACTGAGCTACATCACCCTAGGAGTTTCCTAGCTGTAAGTGTATTAGGGAGGCTGCCATACCCTGGGAGAAAATGTGGGACATAAGCCAGTATCTTCTTTGAGTTCACTATCTCCCATCTTCCCAGACCTCTCCACAGAAGCCAGGGTCAGAAAGCTGAGGGACTCTCAAAGTCTTTAAATCTTTTTAGTGTCCACGTTCACATCTGGACTGGGTCTCAATTACCCAGACAGAAATGATGACTGCTGAAGAAGTCTCTGGAACGAAATGAAAGCCATCCCCCATGGCTTTTCTTAAGAGTATTTAATCATCAGAACAAATTAGAAAAATCAAATTATATATCTAGAATATTTGAATATAGTCAGTTATCAAAAGTGTTAAGTTCAAAGGGGAAAGGCTAGGCATGGTGGCTCACGCCTGTAATCCCAGCACGTTGGGAGGCCGAGGTGGGTGGATCACTTGAAGTCAGGAGTTAGAGACCAGCCTGGCCAACATGATGAAACCCTGTCTCTACTAAAAATACTAAAAAATTAGCCAGGTGTGGTCACCTGTAATCCTATCTACTAGGGAGGCTGAGGCAGGAGAATTGCTTGAACCTGGGAGGCAGAGTTTGCAGTGAGCCGAGATCGTGCCACTGCACTCCAGCCTGGGTGACAGAGTGAGACTCCGTCTCAAAAAAAAAAGTTCAAAGAGGAAAGAAAGAATTCACTAACATCTGTACAAATATTTTAATTACTATGTCTACTCATGCACTAAAAAAAATGAAACTATGGACATGAACAGCAAACCCACTGAATTATATTCAGCTTCTTTAACACACTTCAAAATTATATATAATCACAGTACTTACCCACAGTTCATTATTTAATTAAAGGTTTTTTGTTTTTTTCCCTGAAACAGGGTCTTGCTCTGTCACCCAGGCTGGCGTGCAGTGGTGCGATCTCGGCTCACTGCAACCTCCACCTCCCGGGTTCAAGTGATTCTTGTGCCTCAGCCTCCTGAATAGCTGGAATTACAGGCACACACCACTATGCCCAGCTAATTTTTGTATTTTTAGTAGAGAACAGGTTTTGCCATGTTGGCCAGGCAAATTAAAACTTTTTTTTTTTTTTGAGACGGAGTCTGTTGCCCAGGCTGGAGAGCAGTGGTGTGATCTCAGCTCACTGCATCCTCTGCCACCCGGGTTCAAGTGATTCTCCTGCCTTAGCCTCCTGAGTAGCTGGGATTACAGGTGAGCGCCACTACACCCAGCTAATTTTTGTATTTTTAGTAGATGGGGTTTCACCACCTTGGCCAGGATGGTCTCCATCTCCTGACCTCGTGATCCGCCCGCTTTGGCCTCCCCAAGTGCTGGGATTACAGGCGTAAGCCACTGCACGCGGCCTAAAACATTTTAAAAAGCAAATGAATCAAAATAAAATTTTAAATGGCAAGCTATCAAGTTTAGAGTAATGGTTAGGTTGAGCATCCCTAATCAGAAAACCCAAAATCCAAAATGCTCCAAAACCTGAAACCTTGAGTTCAAAGGAAATGCTCATCAGAACATTTAAGATTTTGGATTTTTGGATTAGAGATGCAAATATACCAAAAAAATCCGAGATCCAAAATGGTCCTGGTCCAAAGTGTTTTGGGTAATACTCAACCTGTAATTAAAATCATGACATTTAAACTCATTTAACTCACCTGTCTTAGTTCCAATGTGGGGCCTCTTCCTACATCCAAAGCAACCTTAATAGGGGCTAAACAAGGGTGAAGTTTAAGTACCTAAGGCAATTAAATGGGGGAAGGAGAAGACAGGAAAGGGGGAAAAAGCATAGTTTGTTTAAATATAACAAAAGTTTAAATATAACACAAGTATTAACAAACACAGTTTCTTAACAGTTACAATTTTGTGTGTGAAAACAGAAGTTAGCTGAGGTCATAAAAACACCATGTAATAACACACTCAGCTGAGGTCATAAAAACACCATGTAATAACACACTCAGCTGCCCTCCAGATCTCTCCACTTAGATGTTTGACAGAAAGAAATTAAATTGGCCAGGCATGGTGGTGCATGCCTGTAACGCCACACTTTGGGAGGCTGAGGCAGGTGCATTCCTTGAGCTCAGGAGTTCGAGACCAGCCTGGGCAACACGGTGAAAGCTTCTCTCTACCAAAAAAACAAAAAAAAATTAGCTGGGTGTGGCACACACCAGTAGTCCCAGCAACTCAGGTGGCTAAGGTGGGAAGAATGCTTGACCTGGGAGGTCAAGGTTGCAGTGAGCCCAAGATCGTGCCACTGCATTCCAGTCTAGGGGACAGAGTGAGATCCTGTCTCAAAAACAAAAAACAAAAAGAAACCAAAAACAAAACACAAAACCACAAAGAAATTAACTTGAGACCCTCCCATTTTCTGACAACTCCCTCAGTCAAAATGCTTCTTCCAAGCATCACTTTGGACCCTACCAGCCAGGGCCACGTGGCTTAGCATTTCAACTTTCTCTCTCTTGTCAAAACCTACCGTTCCTCTCTTTTTATATATATTTTTTTCAATTAAAAAATTAATTTTTTTTTTTTCCAGACAGGGTCTGGCTCTGTTGCCCAGGCTAGAATGCTCCACTCACTGCCTCACTGCAACCCCCGTCTCTGGGCTCAAGCCATCCTCCCACTTCAGCCTCCTAAGTAGCAGGGACTACAGGTGCACGCCACCATGCCCAGCTAGTTTTTAGTATTTTTTTTTGTAGAGACAAAGTTTTGCCATGTTGCCCAGACAGACTGGTCTCCAACTCCTGACCTGAATGATCCACCCACCTTGGCTTCCCAAAGTGCTGGAATTACAGGCGTGAGCTATTCAGCCCAGCCTGCTCTTCTCATTCATTAATTCATCCAACAAACATTTTAATGCCTCTGATACCAGGAACAGTTCCAGGTGCTAGGGGCAAAAATCTCTGTCTCTCGTGGCAGGGAGAAACAGACAATAAAAATAAGTAAATAATATATGTGAAGGTGGTAGGTGTTAAAAAAGGAAGAAGATGGAACATGCTGGCAAGGGGCAGGCTGGGGGAGGTTTTCAGCAACTTTAAGGTGGTCAGAGAAGGTCCTTTTCCTATGGTGACACTTGAGAGGACACTTGAAAGGAGGTGGGGGGACAAGACGTGGATGATGGAGAAAGAGCACTCTAGGCAATGGGGAATACAAATGACGGCTCTGAGCTGGCAGCATCTCCGGCATGTTCTAGAAATAGCAAGGTCAGTGCTGTTGGAGCAGACTGAGTGAGGTGGAGAATAGCAGATCAAAAAGAGGGCTTCGGTTTTTCCTGAGTGAGATGAGCAGCTTTCCCGGAGGGCTCTGAGCAGAGGAGCAACACAACATGCACCTTTGAACAGAGCCACTCTATCGGGGGAGGAGGGGTGGCGGTGGCTTATAGCAGGGTGGTAGCAGGGGACAGGCTAGGAAGTGGTCAGACTCAGGATATGTTTTGAAGTTAGAGTCAAACAGGATTTGCTGACGGTTTGGAAGTGGAGTATAAGAAAAATAAAGGATTCCTTTCTTTATTAGCTACATACCCATCCCCCAGAACAATTTCTATAATCAGACTTCTCCATGGCTATAGCAGGCTAAATGAATACTGTATAAATTACTTAACTAGGCCGGGCGCGGTGGCTCAAGCCTGTAATCCCAGCACTTTGGGAGGCCGAGACGGGCGGATCACGAGGTCAGGAGATCGAGACCATCTTGGCTAACACGGTGAAACCCCGTCTCTACTAAAAAATACAAAAAACTAGCCGGGTGAGGTGGCGGGCACCTGTAGTCCCAGCTACTCGGGAGGCTGAGGCGGGAGAATGGCGTGAACCCGGGAGGCAGAGCTTGCAGTGAGCCGAGATCGCGCCACTGCACTCCAGCGTGGGTGACAGAGCCAGACTCCGTCTCAAAAAAAAAAAAAAAAAAATTACTTAACTAAGCAGAGTGGTTTCCTACAAACTCATGGTTTCCAATCCCAGCTGAACACTCAACTCAACATTACTTGTTAAAACTTTTGATTTGGGGCAGCTTCCTTTTATCTTCAAAGGGTATATGACTATTCCCCACTCGTGCCATTTAAACCCCCACTCTTCCACCTTTAAACTAATAGTGCCTCCTAAATCCCTGAGAAAATAGTGCGTATCAGTAAAATGTCCTTCAAAGGCCAAAAAGCCCAGTAGCCTTTTTATTATCTCACTATCCTTTTTTTCTTCCCTGCTGTTTCAAATAACTCCTTTTCAAGACACATTCCTCTACTTGGGCTCTTGATCCCATCCTGACCCCTCCTGTTTCCTTCATCTTGCCCCATTAGTCATTTATTTTCTCTCCTATAACTTCAACTTCTCCTCTCAATTTTCTTTGATCCATAAAAATGCTCCAAGTGCACGTCCATGCACTAAAATCAGCCTTTCCAGGCCCACATCTAGCTCCTCTGATCCAGCGACCAGCCATGTGGCACGAGACCAGAAGCCAGATACCCGGGGGCAGAGAGGTCAACAGCACTGGTATCCCTGATCCGGGTCTTTCTTCCTCCTATGTACCAATGCTTCAGCTTCTGATACAAATGGAAGCCACCAATGGAAAGGTTCAGGGGCTAGGAGTCACAGAGACAGCTGTCTGTTCACAATTAAACAGAAATGCCTTTGGGAATACTTATTAGGGATGCCTTGTTCTATTCTGTGAGAACCTGATTCTTATTCCTGTGGCCAGATTCTAAAAAAAACTAAAAAATACTTAGACTACATGCACTAAATTTATTATTCACAGTTTATGTTAGAAACCAAGCACACTAACATTAAGAAAAAAACAACAACCACCCATATTTTTAGTTTCCCAAGCCTATCTCTAAAACATCAACAGCACCTTTCTATGAAGATTTTTCTTTCTTGTAAAGGAGTTCTCCGTCAGCTGGAGAGCATCATAGAGGTAGGCCAGCATGCCTCGGTCTAGATCCCCATTTACAGACAGCACACAAGGAACCACATTTTTTCGTCCATCTCGGCCCTTCACAGAAAAACAGAAGAAAAATAAAGAATCATTTCACAGAACTTTTTTTTTTTTTTTTTTCCCTGAGACGGAGTCTCACTCTGTTGCCTGGCCAGGCTGGAGTGCAGTGGTGCAATCTCAGCTCACTGCAACGTCCACCTCCCAGGTTCAAGTGATTCTCCTGCCTCAGCCTCCCGAGTACATATTTTAGACTTACACAATTGGAATACAAAAGTAAAGTTTCATTTTACAAAGCACCCACTCTGTACCAGGCCCGTGGTAGGCACTGGGCCCAAGAAGATGATAAAGATGCATTCTCTGCTCTCAGTGAGTCCAGTGTTTCATCAGCGAGGCCCAAATGTGAATTTTAAAACTATGGTGCTTGGTTGGGCTCTATCCCAGAGATTCTGAACGAACTCAACTGAAGTGGGACCTAGGCATCAATTTTTTCAACAGCCCTACAGACTATTTATTTAATGCTTCTGAGGTAAGAGTTAGTATTCAGAAAGGTAACCCTTTTTTTTGTTTTTTGTTTTAAATACAGCCGGAGTCTCGCTCTGTCACCCAGGCTGGAGTGCAATGGCGTGATCTCACCTCACTGCCAACCTCTGCCACCCGGGTTCAAGTGATTCTCTTGCCTCAGTCTCCTGAGTAGCTAGGACTACAGGCGCAAACCACCATGTCCGGATAATTTTTTTTCTATTTTTAGTAGAGACGGGGTTTCACCATATTGGCCAGGTTGTTCTCAAACTCCTCAGCTCAGGTGATCCACCCACCTCAGCCTCCCAAAGTGCTGGGATTACAGGCGTGAACCACTGTGCCCGGCCTAGAAAGGTAACACTTTAAGTAAAAATTGTTCCCTGATTATTCATAAAGTTCAGAAGAGGCCTTAGGGAAAAAAATGGTGTGCTTTAGGGAAAGGGATTTGGAGTATAATTTTCTGAAATGTAAAGTTATTTTCACAAAAAAAAATCTTTTAAAAACTTACTTTTTGCATTAAAGCCATAATTATGAAAATAAACTACATCATAGCACATGATATGAATTAAGTATTGATAAACAGACTTACTTCTCTAAATTGAAGAGGAATCATTTCAAATTTCTTAAAAATTTCAATCCTAGAAATTTTTTAAGTTTTGGATAAAAACAGTTGCAGTTTCATCTTTCTTTTTTTGTAAATCATTATTCACCTGGATATTCATGTAATTTTAAAAAATACTTAAATAACCACCTTTGGCTAGAGTCACAGAACAAAAAAAAAAAAAAAAAAAAAAAAAAAAAAAAAAAAGAGAAAAGCCCACAAATTTAAATCCTCAGCTTCTGTTAATTATTCATGATCAACCAGTCTTCATTAATATATATATATACTGACATTTTAAACCTATTTGAATTGCATATGATACTTTAAAGATTCACAAGAATTTGCCCTCAAAGGCAATAAACTTTCTGATACCTGGGACTCTATTCTACCAGTTATATTTCACACAGTTACAGAACTGATAGTTAATAAGATAAACTGGGCTGGGAGCAGTGGCTCATGTCTGTAATCCCAGCACTTTGGGAGGCCACGGTGGACGAATCACTTGAGTTCAGGAGTTCGAGACCAGCCTGGCCAACATGGTGAAACCCTATCTCTACTAAAAAGACAAAAATTAGCTGGGCGTGGTGGTGCATGCTTGTAGTCCCAGCTACTCGGCAGGCTGAGGCATGAGAATCACTTGAACCCAGGAGGTAGAGGTTGCAGTGAGCAGATATTGTGCCACTATACTCCAGCCTGGGTGACAGAGTGAGACTCCATCTGAAAAAAAAAAAAAAAAAAAAGGACAAACTCAAGTATTGACAGATTCTGTGGTGTGATATGAATCAAACAAAATCTAAATCTGAATCTTTAAGTATGAAGAATGCTTTAGGCTGGGCACAGTGACTCACTCCTATAATCCCAGCACTTTGGGAGGCCAGGGCAGGAGGATCACTTGAGTCCAGGAGTTTGAGACCAGCCTGGGCAACATGGCAAGATCCCATCTCTATTTAAAACAAACAAACAAAAAACTGTTTAATGTTTTCTAATTTTTTGAAAATTGGATATCCAACAATGTCAGGATAGCTGGTGGCAACTCTTCTAACAATATCTGATTTCTCACACCATCCAGAACAAATTATTTTCTATCCTAACTGTTCTTCAGCCTTTATTGGTCTGCTTCACTGTTCTCTAAAAAATATATTTGGACATTAACTATAAAATCAACTAAAAACATATTCAAAACGGCCTAAGAGGCTGGGTGCAGTGGTTCACGCCTATAATCTCAGCACTTTGGGAGGCTGAGGCAGGAGGATCGCTTGAGCCCAGGAGTTCAAGACCAGCCTGAGCAACACAGTGAGACCCCGTCTCTATTAAATAATTTTTAGAAAGAAATGGCCTGAGAAACATTTCAAGAAAGCATACTAAATGACAGAAATTCTACTTAATATTTTATAACATGGTCAACTAATGATGAATAATTTTGTGAACTTTGGAAACAGAAAAGGAACAGTGTCATGGAAGAAAAAATTTCTGCAATAGGAAAACTCTTCATTAGTGAAAATGATACCAATAAAAGAACAAAATAATCTGGGCTTGGTGGCTACACATGTAATCTTAGCACTTAGAAAGGCAGAGGCAGGAGGACAGCTTGAGCCCAGGAGTTCAAGACCAGACTGGGTAACATAGTGAGACCCCATTCTTCATACAAAAGAAAGAAAAAAAAAAAGAACAAAATAAGAGACTAATAGTGACAATACAAAAATCATCTTTAAATCCCTAGGCACAAGGTTGAGCTGTTCTTTAACTATGATAATTAACCAGTAAGTTTCATTTGAGAGCTGAATACCCCAAAATGAAGTGTGATGGTGGTGGAGTTAAAGGAAAATGTTCACCAGTTAAGCCTTCTAGTTTTTCATTAGTTATTCATATTTAAAAACTCCAGCCTGGTCAATATGGTGAAACCCTGTCTCTACTAAACATACAAAAATTACCCGGGCGTGGTGGCGCGTGCCTGTAGTCCCAGCTACTCAGGAGGCGGAGGCAGAAGAACCACTTGAACTTGGGAATCGCGACACTGCACTCTGGCCTGGGCAACAGAGTGAGACGCCATCTCAAAAAATAAAAAAATAAAAACTAATCTACTTTCTACTCATTATATATAAACTCCTATGTTTTTGCTATGTATTTTTTCTTTTTTTTGTTGAGACATGGTCTCATCCTGTTGTACAGGCTGGAGTGCAGTAGCACAGTCTTGGCTCACTGATGATCCTGGAACAATATATTGCTACAAAAGGTAAGGAAGTGCTCGTCAAGACAATGATGGAGATATGTCAAAAGGACACTGGCCAAGTCTAGGACAATTTGACCATCAAAATAAATAATGACAGTAACACACTGTAACCTACTGAGAAAGTAATCTGTGAATCCACACCAATATAAAAAAAAAATGGGGGAGAAGGAAAAGCTCTACTCTACAGTATATTGCTGACCAGTAAATCTAGAAGGAATGATGGAATTTGGTTTAAAAAAAACAAAAAAAAAAAAACAAAAAAAAAAGGAAAGGGGGAAAAAAACACCATTGGCAAATCTCATAGTACTAACTGATTTCAGCAAGAATCATCAAGGGATGCCGCAATCAGTAAGGCAAAATTTGGTGACATGGCCAGGTGACTCATTCCTATAATCCAAGCATTTTGGGAGGCTGAGGCAGGAGGATTGCTTCATCCCAGGAGTTTGAGACCAGCCCAGGAAACAAAGCTAGACCCCGTCTCTACAAATATTAAACAATTAGTCAGGTGCGGTGATACATGCTTGTAGTCCTAGCTACTTGGGAGGCTGAGACAGGATTGCTTAAGCTCAAGAGTTTGAGGTTGCAGTGAGCTATCACCACACCACTGTGTTTCAGCCTGAGCGATAGAGTGAAATCCTGTCTCAAAAAAAACCCTTTAAAGAAAAAAAAAAAAAATCACCATTTGGCAAACCTCACAGTAATAACTGATCTAGGCAAGAATCATCAATGGATGCTGCAACCAGTAAGGCAAAATTTGGTGACAAAGAAATTATCTGCATCATCTTAAAGTATCTGCCCAAGACACTTAATTACTAATTTTTTTTTTGAGATAGAGTCTTGCTTCTGTCGCCAGGCTGGAGTACAGTGGCACGATCTTGGCTCACTACAACCTCCACCTCCCGGGTTCAAGCGATTCTCCTATCTCAGCCTCCCAAGTAGCTGGGACTATAAGGGCACGCCACCACACCCAGCTAATTTTTGTATTTTCAGTAGAGACGGGGTTTCACCATGTTGGCCAGGATGGTCTCAATCTCTTGACCTTGTGATCCTCCCACTTCAGCCTCCCAAAGTGCTGGGATTACAGGCATGAGCCACCGCGCCTGGCCATTAGTTAATTCATAAGTACAAAATATTTATTAACTTTACATTGGAGAAATCTGGTAGACACAATCTTAACTAAATGATAAAAGTTAACATCACCAGTAACACTCCTCATGACACACTGAGAAGACAGCAGCACCACTTCTGTAGTACTCCCGACAAAAATATATAAATCACGTGGAAACAGCAGACAGATCCCAGTCAAGGCATATTCTACAGACTAACTAGGCTGTACTCTTCAAAAATGTCAAGGTCACACAGGACAAGAGGAACTGTTCATTTGAAGGAGAGTAAAGGCATATGACAACTACATGAAAGATAAGATCTTGGACCTACAAAGGCCATTACTGAGATAATCAGTTCAATTTGTAGGGCTCGGTGGCAATAGTGGATTACTGTTAATTTCCTGATTTTGATGGTTGGATTGTAGTTATGTAGGTGAGTGTCTCTGCATCTGAAAAATACACAATGAAGTATTAAGGGGTCATGGAACACCATGTTTGCACCTTATTCTCAAATGGTTCAGAAATGATTATAGAGAATCTGGGTAAAAAATACATAGGAGCTCGAGGTAAAACATACATGTAATTTAGATACGTTGCCAGGATACATGTGTAAAAGTTCTTGATCTCCTAGGTTCCACAGGGTTTCTATCGGCTCCTTTCCCCAGGGAAAACTGTAGTAAAGTTTGTTTCCTTTCCTGCCTTCTTCATCCTGACAGTCACTGCTGCTGAAGTTAGATGGACTCATGGCAAACTGGAAAAGAAAATTTAAGTTTGTCTTAACATATAAATACATGCTAATTTAACTCTACTCCCATAATTATCTGTAAGAATTTAAATTGATACTTTTTAATTCAGCAAATGTGTGAAACTAGTCAAGTCCTGAAAACAAATTTTAAAATATATTCTAATTTAGTTTTTTTTTTTTTTTTGAGATGTGTCTCATTCTGTTGCCCAGGTTAGAGAGTGCAGTGGCTATTCACAGGTGCAATCATAGCTCACTGCTGCCTCCTACTGCTGGCCTCAAGCAATCCTCCTGCCTTAGGATTCAGAGTAGCTGGGACCACAGGTTGCTGCAATTTAATTTTTAAAAAGTGAAAATACTGGCTGGGCGCAGTGGCTCACGCCTGTTATCCCAGCTCTTTGGGAGGCCGAGGCAGGGGGATCACTTGAGCTTAGGACTTCAAGACCAGCCTGGGCAACAGAGCAAGACTTCATCTCTACAAATAATAAAAGAAGTTGCAGTGAGTTGTGACTGTGCAACTGCACTCCAGCCTGGGCCAAAGAGTGAGATTATGTCTCTAAAAAAACGAAGATGGCGTCAGTTGTACCAGTGAAGGACGAGACACTTCTGGAGGTCAAACTAGGGGAGCTGCCAAGGTGGATCTTGATGTGGGACTTCAGCCCTAGTGGCACTGCTGGAGCGTTTCGAAGAGGTTACTACTGGTACTACAACAAGTACATCAACATGAAGAAGGGGAGCATCTCAGGGTTTACCACTGTGCTGGCAGCCTACATGCTCTTCATCTACTGCCTTTCCTACAATGAGCTCAAGCACGAGTGGCTACGCAAGTACCCTGAAGAAGACACACTCTGTACTCCCCCAACAACCTTCTTGGCCAGAGCCCCTCCATAAGGAACACAATCTCGATTGTTGCTGAATCCTTTCATATCCTAATGGGAATTAACCTCCAAATATAAGATGACTGGTACTTGTGGAAAAAAAAAAACAATAACAAAAACAGACAACAAAAATAAAAGTGAAAATACTGAGTATATTGCTTAAAGTATTGTTTTTTAGTAGGAAAGAACTACAGAGAAAAAACTGTTGATGTTATCCAGCCTTTTTATGGCCAATGAGGAAGAGGGGATGTTAACCATGAACTAAACTGGGATAAAGAAGAAAGTAACAGATAGTCCAGTCCTCATTCTTACCCTTCTGTGAAGTTCTTGATGACTCGTGATTATTCCATACAGTTTAAATGGGTATTTGGGGATGTTTGTGTCGGGAAATGGTAACATAACACATGGCGAGACAAAAATGCTTACTTCAACTCTTTTCTTCAGTGAGTACTAAAACTTGATTATCAATTACAGAGCCATTTTGACTAATATGGAAAGTTCATGGAGGTAGGTAGGAAAGGCTGAAGCTGTGACAATGGTCAAGGGTCAAACTCTACATCAGCCAGAAATGCTAGGTGAGGGCTTTGAATTTCACCTTATACAGAAAGGCTAATCAACAAACACATCTGAGTCCAACAAATGTTTTTACCAAAGTAACTTTGTAATCTGGAACAATGAAAACCATTACAAAGAGGTTTTTTATTTGTATAACATATTAATAGCTACATACATCAAATAAAATTTCATGTATGTCAGAAGAATTACCACTGATACATTATGACAGTTTATTAACTATTAAAGTTTATTGTTGCAGTACCTTTCTCCACCACTGGAGTCGATGACGTAACCAGAAATCAAGCCATTGGTTTGAAGTTCTCGCAGGACTAAACCATACTAATGAAGCTTCAGTCTTCTCACCAATTCTTTAGATATAAAAAATATCACGAAGTTAGCTTATCTGAAAATTATATAATCTATCCCAAGTGGAAATGACTGGTTTTTGACTATTTAAATACAAGGCCAAGTTATTTGCCACTTTTTATACCTTTTAACACCATTTGGTATCTGCTTAGTGTCAAAAACAGGATGAAAACACACTCCAATCTGAGCAAGGCCATAAGGTAGCCTCTTGTTTACCAGATCCAGGCAATTAACATAGTGTTCCAAGGCACCTGTCAAAACATAAATCATTGTATACATCTAGTCCACAAACCCAAATCACTTTTGTCAATAGACACATCAATAGTAGTAATAATGTTAACACAGCAGTACAAGTATCATGGAGCTATAAAGATAGATCTTGGCCGGGCTCGGTGGCTCATGCCTATAATCCCAGCACTCTGGGAGGTCGAGGTGGGCAGATTGCTTGAGCTCAGGAGTTCTGAGACCAGACTGGGCAACACAGCAAAACCTCATCTCTAAAAATATACAAAAATAAGCCAGGCATGATGGTGTGTGCCTTGTAGTTCCAGCTACTCGGAAAGCTGGTAGGTGGATCACTTTAGCCTGGGAGGCCGAGGTTGCCGTGAGCTGGGATGGTGCCACTGTGCTCCAGCCTGAGTAACAGAGTGAGACCCTGTCGATCACCACTTAATTATAGGTAGTTTCACCCCGACTTTTTAGTTTGAAGTTTTCTTTTTTTTTCTGAGATGGAGTCTCGCTCTGTCGCCCAGGCTGGAGTGCAGTGGCGTGGTCTTGGCTCATTGCAGCCTCCGCCTTCCGGGTTCATGCCATTCTCCTGCCTCAGCCTCCCTAGTAGCTGGGACTACAGGCGCCCGCCACCATGCCCAGCTAATTTTTTTTGTATTTTTAGTGAACACGGGGTTTCACCGTGTTAGCCAGGATGGGCTCCATCTCCTGACCTCGTGATCTGCCCACCTCAGCCTCCCAAAGTGTTGGGATTACAGGCATGAGCCACCTTGCCCAGCGAAGATTTTCAAATCTACAAGAAAGTTGAAAAAATAATAAACATCTATATAGAGTGAACACTTGTATACCCTTTACCTAGATTCATCAATTATCAATATTTTGCTACATTTTTTTTCTTGTTCACTCCCAAATACTGCAGCATGCATCTTCTAAAAATAAAAATATTTCCTATATACCATTATACCACCATAAAAAGTGAACCATAATACCACAATATAATCTAACATATGGCAGATATTTTATTTGTTCCAATTTTCACCCCAAATATCTTTTACTGTTCTCTTTCTTTCCAATTAAGATTCATGTATGGCATTCTGAGTAGGTTTCTTTCATCTCTTTGAATCTAGAACATTTCCCCTGACTCCTTTCCCCCTTAATTTTGCTATTAATGACACTAACTTTTGAGTCCAGGTTAGTCACAGATTATCCCACATTTGGAATTTGTCTGATTGTTTCCTTATGATTTAATTTCGGCTAATCATTTTTAGCAAAATACTACATAGTAGATATGTGTATCTTATTGCATAATAACAGGAGGAACATGTTATCAAGTTATTCCACTACTGATGACACCAAATTTGATTACTTGGTTAAGGTAGTAAATATCCACTCCCCAATAATATCCTGCTCCCCAACAGTATTTCACCCAATATTTTAGAATCCATTGATGACTGTTGCTTGAATCAATTGTATCAGGGATTGCAATATTAAGAAATGGTGAATTTTCTAACGTATCTTTCCTTCTACATTTATTCCATAGCTTCTGTAAAAACATAAGCTTTCTCTACTTCTTCCCCACACTCCCGACCTCTAGGCTCAATTATTTGTTTTTGATTAATACTATGGACTCTTAATCAATGTGTTATGATCCATTATCATTAATATGTATCTTAATGTTCAATTTGTCCTAGACGTAGCCAGTGACAACCCTTCTCAAGTCAGCATCTGTGACCTTTTGATATGACCCATTAGTCTTCAAGCAATTCTTTGCTTTTTAGCACCATAAAGTGTTTCAAACTCACCTTGTACTTCCCCTAACCCCAGAACTGGAATCAGCCATTTCTCCCAGTACTGGTTCACCTTAGACAAGATCTGGGCACTAGGTGTGCTCATTGCTACGGAGGGACATTGCTTCTAGGAACATTCAATGAAGAAAGTTAGGAAATATATTTTTAAAAACCATAAGGCTAGGCAGTGTGGCTCACACTTGTAATCCCAGCACTTTGGGAGGCCAAGACGGGCAGATTGCTTGAGCTCAGGAGTTCAAGACCAGCCTGGACAACATGGCAAAACCTCATCTCTACGAAAAACACAAAAATTAGCTGGGTGTGGTGGCATGCGCCTGTAGTCCCAGCTACTTGGGAGGCTGAGGTGGGAAGTTCACTTGAGCCTCAGAGGTTGAGGCTGCAGTGAGCCATGAGCACACCACTGCACTACTGCACTCAAGTCTGGGTGACAGAGTGAGACCCATGTTCGATTTTAATTTACTCATATTCAATTTTAATTTACCAATTCATATTTAACATTAGTTTATACGTACCTTCTTTTACATATTATCTCTTTTTTTACAATGAAAATCTTGGTTCCTAATAACAACTAACCCAACTATTTGATTTTTTTTTTTGAGACGGAGTTTTGCTCTTGTCACCCAAGCTGGAGTGCAGTGGTGTGATCTCGGCTCACTGCAACCTCTGCCTCCTGGGTTCAAGCGATTCTCCTGCCTCAGCTTCCCAAGTAGCTTGTTCACTCCCAATACTGCAGCATGCATCTTCTAAAAATAAAAATATTTTTATTTTTATTTAGTTCGCCATCACGGCCGGCTAATTTTTGTCTTTTTAGTAGAGATGGGGTTTCACCATGTTGGCCAGGCTGGTCTCCAACTCCTGACCTCAGGTGATCCACCCGGCTCAGCCTTCCAAAATGCTGGGATTACAGGCGTGAGCCACTGCGCCCGGCCTGGATTTATCCTGTCATACACATGAAATAGTTTCAAAATTATAATTTCAACATTTCTACTTGGAATAAATCTAAGAAAAGTTCAAAATGTCTTTGTAGTTCCTTATGCACTTAGACTACACTGCACTAAATGACAGCACTGTGTTCAAAAGTTGCCCCGTGAAATTGAGAGCGTTTCCAGGTCCTTCGGACAGATTCTTTAAGGAACAGCAATGATTCCAAGGACCAGTTTTCTCCAGGGTAGAGCACTGTTAATATACTTGATTACTTCAAAAAGATGAGAACTAGCTAACTTCCTTTGCATGGGAATAAAGGGCCAGTTGCAATCCCCAAAATCCAGCAAGACTGCCTCGCCTTTCCACCCCACACCTGTTTTGAAGCATGAAATCGTGAAGCATACCGTGAAGAAGGTTCTCCCGTAGTTTCCCAGAAGTTTTTAATACGTTCTCAAGAAATGCTACTAGCTGTTCCTTACTCAGCTCTTTGTCTTGCAAGATTTCGCGTAGAGTTTCTGCAGAAACGAACCTGAAGGCACTGTCCCCGGGTAGCAAAGGGCCTGGTTCGTGGTGGAGAGCGTCCACCGGGAATACCTGCTCCCTGAACACCACCACCGAGGTCCACCATTCTGCGGCGAGGTTCTTCCGCAACTCTACGCCCAAGGGTCCAAAGCCGGGGTGGCACCCACTCAGAAGAGAATCCCGGCTAAGCTGCTGCTTGCTTCCACTTAGGAAATGCCTTCTCTGACAGATCTCTAACAGCTCCTCGCTTCCCTCTCCAGACCCGGGGGCTTCTGGGTGCTCGCGGTTCCCCTCGAGCTCCGCGTGCGACCTCAGGTGTCCTCCTTGGGGGCTACTCCTTTCCGTCAACAGCTCCGGCTGCCCCGCATCTACTCGACCCCCAAATCCAGACAACAGGCACCTGCAGACCTTATGGCAGGCCCTGACGGCAACACGAGAGTGCATCTCCCTCCGAAGTTAAAGAGCACGCTCTCCCATCACTCAGCGTATCCCAACAAGCCGCCACCACCGTTAACAGAATCCTGGCAGGCCAGGGCGCAGGCGCAACGGAGGTGAGCGTGCTTTCGGGCGGCAGGCCCCACCCCGGAAGCGCATCTCTGCGTTCCGGTGACTGCCTTCCCCCGCACACCATGGCGGACGCCGGCTAGGATGGTTCTTTACTAGCTTGCCGTTCGTCTCGCGCCCCTCCCCTCACATCCATCTTTTTCTTTCCTCGTAAGCACCTATAAAGGTTATTCCCACCTATTTATAACCGTGCTGTAGCCACTTGAGTCACTTCTTTCTGCCACTGTTTGGCAGCCCAGAAAATTAAAATACTTAAGTATTATCCAAATCACCTTCTATATACACCTCAAACACTTTTAGACTGAGGTGTAGATGGTGATTTGGATAACACCAGATTTGTCATTTGGTTCCCATTTAAAGAGTTTTAGTCCTTTACGGTAGTTAAGCCCAGGCCTTAACTGTAGGCAAATGCTGCCGCCAGGTGGCCTAGGCCTAACCCCAGAGCCGTTGTCTTGACGCTTAAGCTCCCAGGGGTGCGATGGGACTTTGTGACTCAAGTAGTGGTACAGTCTATTTAAATATTGCAGTGGCTTCCAAAGGGCAGTCCTCAGCCAGCAGCATCTGCCTCACCTGGGAATGCACTAGAAATAAACCAAGGGGCCCTGACACGTCTTAAACCCTCCTGGTGAGACAGAAAACTACGTATGTGCTATTTCTTCTAGGGGACCCTTCTATGGGTTCATCAACACGAGACTTGTGACTGTTTTAAGAGACTCATGTTCACATCGCAGGTTTCTGATTTTATAATTTCTATTTAAATAGGTCGACACCTTAAGAACCTCCCAGAAAGTGGAAAAGTGGTATACCCAGACTGAGGAAGTCTGATTCCAAAGTCCATGATTTCTTACACCAGCTTCACTCAGTTGAACAATCTGCATTTCACTGTGATACTACCAAACTACCACCTGATTAAGCGTGGGTAACAGCTTAGCAATTGAGTTAATGTAACTTAGAACTTTTATCATTAATAAAAGTGCTGTACCAGGTTCAGGAAATAGTTCTTTACAAGTGTGTAGAAGTGTTTAAAAAAAGGCCAGCTAGAAAGTGCAACAGTATTGCTGAAAAGCAAATCTAGTAATTAACTGCAAAGCTGGGTACTACTACTGCCAGGTGTTTTCCACATTCAGGAATTCACACCAGGTAAGAAGCCTATACGCAAATAAATAAATAGAGAGAATGGGGAGAAAAATCACATTTATTAGTTAAAGACAACCACAGGCTGGACACAACACACATGCTAAAAAGTGGACTGTCTTTTAAAACTTCCAAGGTAAATAGGTAAATGTTTTCCACAGCCCCACAATCATTTCATTAAGTACAAATTAAAAGGCCCACGGTTAAGACATTAAACAGTAAAATACGTAATAAATGCTCCAACCTACCCTCTCCCCCGAAAGCTGCTTCTAAGTTTAAAACCATGAATTTGACTAACCATGCCACTGAAAACCATCCAGGTTACTAGAGGCTGAATGAGTTTTCAAGGTCTGAGTCCCAGAAATAGCACTCCCTATCCCAGCCCTAGCAAATTCTAACTTGACATTTGACATAAGGCATTAACATCGATTAAAGCCTCAGTTTAATAATCAGAATTTAAATGAAGTCTCCTGAAGACTTCTCTTCTGGCAAAACCATGTATCAAACTCTGGGAAAACATTCGGACCCACTTCTAGCTATTACTGAAATAAATGATTAGAAAGTTAGGTTGGTGAGCCAAAGTTAAACCTAAAGCTATCCCCTGGATCTTTCTAGCAATAAACCCATGTTGAACCTACCATGAAAACTTTTATTCACTGTGCTTTTGGTTATGTTGCCTCCTGATTAGTCATTAATTTTAATGAGGTTTTTTCCTTGTGTTGAGTATGAATAGACCTTACAGTTTGAAGATCTCTAGAATTCCCTGAATTATTGGAAAGACATTCATGACTCCCAGCGTGACTACAGTTAAGAGCCCCAGGGAGCCTGTGAAGACTAGAATCTACAAGTAACCTGCACTGAGAACGTTGTGCAAATTCAATCAGTTAAGGAGACTCAAGTTTAGCTCCTGGCCATCTTAAAGAGCGAATGTATGTCTTTCACAGGTTTGTTCAACATTTCAGTAATTCACAGTATAGCCAAGAGCATGAGAATAAATCTCTTGAAAAAACCAGTTATTTGGAGCTTTTTAAATCATAAATTTTGCCAAAGTCATCCACATTCTCACATTACATAGATGACTTTGTATCTATTTTACTATTCTCTCATTTAACCATACTAGCAAATAAGGAAAAGGCTATTAAATGACTCCCCTGATGTTGGGAGCTGACAAAGCTTTTACGCAATGTAGCCTATAACTAAAAATTCACCTAAATCAGTTCATTGACTCCTGCAATATAATAGTTCATTGTAAAGGGCCTTCTGATTCCCCCTGCCTCCCAAATTAAATAAAAAGGAGCAGTCATTTGTTTTCATGATTAAAAACGAAACAAAACAACAAAAACCCAGACCATCTAAGCAAAGTTTTACATGACATTATATATATAAAATAAAGTACAATTTCCACTTAATTCAGTCTTCAAATATTTTTTATTGGAAGGCCATGCATTGCCTTCATTTATTGTATTTCAAATCACTGTACATTTACTTTTGTGAAAACACTGCCTGCATTTTCTAGTACAAAAAAAACCTAAAAATTGTTTCAGGAATGTAGAGAAATATCCAACTTAAATAGCGAAAAAGTGCACCATAATTACTGCTGCACTGCAGTCATTTCTGCAATTCCCATGTTTCTTAAATAACTATCTTGTCAGATAACACACAATATAAAGAGCAATTATGAAAAACAGACATTTACATATACTTCTAAAGTCTTATTGAGAATATCCTGTTGGCATTGGATAACCAATCATAGGTGCGGCTGCAGTAGCAGGATACGCATATGCCTGTTGGTTCATACCATTGTGCATATTTGGAACATTACTTCCGTATTGCTGAGTGCTATCATAACCATTCTGGTAAGTCCCTGTTGGATTACCAGTCCTAAAACTGGTCTGTATACCAGCAGACACAAAATTACTTCCAAAGCTCCCATTAGTGTAATTTGCAGCACTGTAAACACCATTCTGAGTTTTTGCCCCAAAATCTCTTTTTAGCAGGCTAGAGTAACCTCTGTCATAATTTTCCCTGTCTCTAAAGGTATTAAATCCACCCCTTTTGCCCGCAGAGTATCTGTCCCGACGGTCATCCTTCATGCCTCCTCTACCCCTGGAACGACCTGTTAAAAAAAAAAAAAAATTGCAAATTGATCAATTATGTCTATGACACAAATCATTGTGGACAGAAAGAATTAGATCTATTCATTGCAGGCGTGAAATGGTTTTACAGTTTTTCAACATAAGTTTTCCGTTCAAGGTTTTACTCACCCTCCAATACCATTTAAATGGATTTGTAGACAACGATGTGACTCACAACTACCAACATTTCCTATCAGTCATCCTTACCTGAACCTCTGTCTTCGACCAACTGAAGCAACTTGGGATTAATTGCTTGATTAGCTTCACGAAGCACAGAGATAAGGTCGCTCACTTGCTTTATGTTATTAGGTGTAAAGAAAGTGTATGCTGTGCCTGTTTTGGTACTGCGAGCAGTTCTTCCAATTCGATGAATATAATCCTCTGAGGAGTTAGGGTAGTCATAATTGATGACAAATTTCACATCTTCCACATCTGTAAGGTGTTGCAGTGTGGCAAAATAGCAATGTACGGAGTTTTGCACACCACAACAGCCAGACCAAAAATAAAAAGTTAGACAATTGTATTCCCAAGAAGGTACGGGCTGCAAAAAATACAGTTAAAATGGTTATCCATTCCCTGTAGGAATACCATTGAGGTTGAAAAAAGAAAAAAAAGCACATGTCATCTGTATAAGTTATCACCCACCCAGTGACAGACCCTGTCAAAAGGAATGTGTATTCCCTAGCACATTCCCAAATCAGCAAGTTCCCTTACAGATCATCAAGTGACATCTGAATGCTTCTGCGCAGTAGGGCCACTTAAAGTTTCACAGCAACCTCCTTCATGTGCTCATTTTGAGGACCTTGAAACAAAAAAATGTACAAGGTCCTTTGCATTACACATTCATCAGAAGTTCAAACTTCTGGCCACACTGCTTGTCTTGCCAAGACCTTACAACCGCAGCTGCAAGAAAACATACCTGTCCCCCAAAAGTTGTTTTTATGCACTGTGTCTCGTCTAGGCAAGCGCTTCCAAGAAGCCAGGATTCACTTGAGAATGTGTCTCTCTCTGGCAGGTCTCGACATGACGACTACTGTGTAGGTGAGGGAGGAACTTTCAAAGCACTTTCTTTTCCCACTGACTATGTGTGAGAAGTTGCTCCTGCTCTAGATCTCATGTGCCAGTACTCACCAATTTGTAAAAGGATTAGTACCTTTTAAAGCTGCTCTCTCCATTTCAAACTTGAACAAAAATTTCATTGAACATTGAAGTTTGGAAATATTTCTTCGACATTTCAGCAAACTCACTGAAACTCAAAGACCCACAGATCACAGTGAACAGTTTGAAACAAGGCTGTACCATGGCAGTCATGCAAAGCATGGGACAGAAGAAATACCACGGCAGTGAACTGTGAGGATAACTTCCATTTTTTCCCTCGGAGAGAACAGTTTACGGGGCAGAGGTGATATGTTCTGCCTTTTGAAGATTACTGGCACACGTTCAGCTTTTTCACCTCTCTAATCGACTGGAAGCAGCCAGCCGATCACTAGTCCTCCATCCCCCTCGAGTCCTCCGATTGTCATGCCTAGGCCTTGCCACAAAGACAGCACCTTTATGTGAAAAAAACTTAGAAAAAATGCAGAGGTTAAAGAAAGCAATAAACTTTCTTTAAAAAAGTTAAATGGAGATCTTCTGGGAAACCAAGCCATGAATGCGAGTTTGTACTAACCTAGCCCTCTGGAGGCCACATCTGTAGCAATCAGAATAGGAGCTTTTCCATGTTTGAATTCTACAAAGGAAGGCATATACATGATCAATTATCTGAGCAGAATTCTAGCTAAGTAAGGGGGGAAAAAAACTTCATTTGAAATATTTACCATTTAGAACCCAGTCACGCTCTTGTTGACTCTTGTCACCATGGATACCCATGGCAGGCCACCTAAAAGACAAGTTGTATCATAAAACTCACATTGAAAACCTCAGACTCCAGTGCTTAACCACGTCTTGTCACAGATCTCTTTAATTTCACCAGAAATTAAAAAGAATTAAATTCACTTATATTATCAGATATCCACTGCTCCTGATCCAAGTTTGCCCTTTCCTAAGCTCAGTTACAAAAAAATCTGCTTCAATGGAGGAGCCCACACATACCCATCTCTCCTCATTTTTCTGGTAAGCTCATCACATCTTCTTTTGGTTTCCACAAAAACAATGGTTTTATTCTCCTTCTCACTCATGATCTCTTCCATTAAACGAATAAGTCTAATAATGGGAGACAGAAAGGAAAAATCCCGAGTTTTAAAAGACCATTGGTAGGGCCCCACGTTTATGGTCAGCAAAACATTAAGTTCAATTTACATGGCTGGAAGTCAAAGAGGAAACACCTGCCAACCCACTTATGTAGTAGTTCGACCCTTGATCCTTAAGTCAACCAGGGGACACATGAATTCCTTCTATAGGAAAACTATAAATGGTGATAATCATTATTTGAAGAATTCAAGATATTTTCAGAAGGGTTAATAGGCTAACTAAACGAAATCACACCAACTGAAATAACAATGATCCCTCAATTTCAGCAAGGTTAGGAAGCGAATATGACAGAGTTAATAAAACTTACTTTTCATCCTTTTCTACGTCATGACACACATCCACAATCTGAAGAATGTTGTGGTTTGCACTCAGTTCAAGTGCACCAATGTTTATATGGATATAGTCTTTCAAGAAATCTTCAGCAAGCTGTCTTACTTCTTTTGGCCAAGTCGCACTCCACATTAGAGTTTGCCTATCAGGCTAATGGATTTTGGGGGGAAAAATTAGTGTCAGACTAAAAGTGAAAATAGAATTGATCACATATTTCAAAGGACACTTACTCTTATTTGATCCACAATCTTCCTTATTTGGGGTTCAAAACCCATATCAAGCATTCTGTCTGCTTCATCAAGGACAAGATAGGTTGTTCTTCTCAGATTGGTTTTCCCACACTCTAAAAAGTCAATCAGTCTTCCAGGAGTTGCAATACAGATTTCCACACCTTTAATTAAACACGGAAGTGTAACTATAATACCTCAAATATTTAGTACCAATAACAAATAAAACTCTCATTACAGACCTCTCTCCAAATCACGTATTTGTGGTCCCTTGGGAGCACCACCATAGATACAAGTAGACTTCAAGCGACATGCTCTACAATATTCAGCAGCTACTTGCTGCACCTGTTGGGCCAGTTCCCGAGTTGGTGCCAGCACCAAACACTAAGGAAAGAGAAACAGCTTTCAGCACAAACCTGGATGCTAGTTTTAAACTGTTAACTTATTAGTTATGATGGCAGATCCTTTCTTCATGTGTTGTCCAATACCCAAATCAACTCCAGCTAAATAGGGTGAGCTAACCTCTGTATAAAACCACCACAAATGATTACATCTTTTACTATGTAGTCTAAAAATCTATATATTACACTTCTAATAAAAAGTTAAAAATATATACTTACAATGGGCCCATCGCCTCTCTCTAGGAATGGCTGATGATTGATGTGGACAATGGCAGGAAGCAAATACTATTTGGGGTGAAGACGGGGACAAACACAAATCACATTAAAATACTCTTGTTTTTAAATTACCATTCCGTTTTCTTGCATATATTACACATCAAGAGTTCTCTCAAACTTACAGACAATGTTTTCCCAGATCCAGTCTGTGCCACTCCAACCATATCCAATCCACTTAGAGCAACTGGCCATCCCTGAGCTTGAATAGCAGTGGGTTCAGTGAAATTCTGTCTAGCAATAACATCCATGACGTTTGCTATAATTAGTGACAGATGTTTAACAAAAATTAGTGATGCCAAGGAAAGGAGGAGGTAGGTGGAAACAAAAACACAGGGGTAGGGTAGAACTGAAAAGTAGCACTCACCAGGGAAATTAGCTTCATAAAAATTTAGAACTGGCTTCGGGCAGTTGTGACCTCTAACTGTAATTTCCTTGCTTCTTCTGTATGTTTCCACCTCTTGCTGCAAAACAAATTATAACAGTCTTAAAGCTCATGACAACCACCCCTAACTAAATACGTAATTGGCAAGCCCCTAACTTCATAATTTAGTAACTACTTTAAAGTAGCTTCATTTTAATCTGGAACCGCGTATGAAAACCCTATATGACAAAAAAACCGTTTATTCTGCTATACTCAACCTAAAAAAAAAAATTCCCAAAGCCACCTATTTGCAAAAGTGAGTCACACCTTTCCCAATTATGAAGTCAGAAAACCTAACTCTATCAAAATTGAGTTATTTGCAAAACACCTGTCAGAATTTCATTTACTAGGCTCCATTGAGTTACAGCCTGATGAAGCCACATGAATTTACTCACTGCTGTCCGCCTAGCCAAATCAGGGTGCTCTTGATAGAAATTCTTCTCAAACTTGGGCAGCTCATCAAGATTCCACTTCTTTTTAACTAGTTTCTCCCCAGGGTTTCCAAACTTCTTTCCAGATAAGGGCCCCGCCCTACTTCCTCCAAATCGAGGTGCACCAAACCTGGAATGAAGAAAAAAAGTTATTTACATTTTCAAATGGCTACACCTAGGTTTCTGGACAGATTTGTTTACCATCCCTTGGCACAAGCTAAAGATCACTGAAAGCCGACTTCGAGAGGTAAACCTAGCACTGTCCTTAGTGATAATCTCTCTCAACAGCCACAGTTAACGTTTCCCGTAGTCCCAAGTCCCAAGTACACACACCTTAGGCCACGTAAACAGCCTGGTTTACTATATCGAAAACTTGTCACCCAGATGCCAGAATTTAGGACTACGCACCACTTCTTGTGGTTACTATTATCTTTCTCACCAGTCTAGCAATTCATTATCAGTGATAACAAGCCTACATGAACCGAAGAGCATCACAACGATGTTACTCATATGGCCGTTTTCAAGCCAAAGGGCTTTGATGTCAACAATCTAGACAGCACAGACAACGAAAACGAAACAAGGATTTAGAAACGCTTCTGCTAGCAAACCGAGCTGGGGGGACGCCGCGGTAGAGCTGCGGATCAACGAATCAAAATTATATAACGCAGGAAAAAAGAAAAGGAGGAGCCGGCGACTACCGGGGGAGGAGTCCCGGCCCGGGCGGAGCCGCCGGGCGGCGTTCCCGCTGGGGCGGCGCTTCCCCCTTTGTCTCGCATTTCTCTCTGCGCCACATTTTCTCGACGCTGCCATTTTGAGCTCCTCCGCCGGGCGGAGTAACAAAGGCGCCGCCGCCATGTCCGAGGCCGGCATTTTATACCCGCGACTCAGCCACATGGCTGATGCCGGCCGCCCTCCTACCCCCACAGCACCAGTGGCTTTGGAGGTGGTCCCTTCGCGCCCACAGAATGCCCGACCACCCCAAAAACACCTCCCGAAAGGCCGCACCTAACAGCTGTTCCTTCGTCTGCCTCGAAGCGTCGCGCTTTCATCCGAACAATGCGCTCCCTCTGAATTCCCTCAACAGCTACCAAATGGCAGCCGCCCCGACGGCTCCCCGACCCCCACACAAAAAGCCAGGATGAAGACACTATCCCGTCAAATCTCTCCCACTCACTGTTACGTGAATATCAAAATGGCGCAAGCCTTCGGGAAAGAAGGCCGGAAAGGCCGAGTCCAAGCCGCAAAGCCCCGGCCCGCCGCCACCCTGACCCGCCCTCCCATCCCCCACCCGCCAGCCCTGACAACTCGGCTCCCACACTCACCCTCGATCCCGGCCGCGGTCTCGGTCACTCGAATAACCCGACATAGCGTCAATGGTTGCGGCTGGCGGGGAACGAAGTGGATAGAAAAGGGTGCGACGAGTCGCTGGAAATGGCTTCGGCGACAGCGAAGCCTTGCGGGGGCGGCAGCGGAGGAGTGACGGCGATGACCCTAGTCAAAGCTGCACAACTAGAGACCGGTGGAAATGAATGAGGTGCCGGCCGCTTTCCGGCAGCCGCTTTTATAGTCTGGACCTCCTCCTACGCCGCAAGGCACGCTGGGAGCCGCTCTATGACCTAATCGCCCCGCCCCTCGCGCAGAGGCCGCAACGCCCGACGGCGTTCCGCGATCGCCGCGCTTCCACCCCACCCCGTGCCGCTCTCTCAGGTCAGGGCCCACCCACCATTGAAATGCCTCATTCTCCACTCTCTTGACCTCACCTTCTTCTCGTCTTTCCACACCTCAAGAAAGCCACCCTGCCCTTTCCCAAGCCCAGCCAGACGATAAAACAGCCAGCCCACCCTCCCCACTCGGAGGTATTTACGTCTCCAAAGAGCCCTCACGCCTGTAACCAAATGAGAGGGAAGGCGGGGGGGGGGGGCCTGGCGTTGTCACGTGACTTTACCCCCCCACCGCCCACCGGGACAGGGTGCCGCACTACTTCCCCGTTGACTTCGGCGGAGGGATACATAACGAAATAGCTCACCGGAAGTGCGGTGCCAGCACCCGGGACCCGCCCCCAGCTGCCGGCTGACTTGGACCGTCCGACCCACGGGTCTGACAATCCTGTGACGGGTTTTGGCCGGCGGAGAATGGTCTCTAAACTTCCCAAACCGCTTCCGTGGCACGTGCTGTGAAAGGAAGTGCTCCTCTGATGACCAATCAGCGGCGAGAAGTTCTTTTAACGTCCCTCCCTCTTTCACGCCTCCTTCCCCGCGCTTTAGTTCGTGCGCCCGCCCCCCAGCGTCTGGTCTGCGTTCGGTCCTTGCAGGACACCGTCGCCGGTCTGGCCGCGTCGGAGTCCGGCGGCGACCTGCTTCCGAGACATGGCCCGCTCGGAGGCTGGTGAGTGTTTCCTTGGGGTCGCGGTGTGTGTTTACTGAAACTGTCCACCTTCAGGGAGGCCTCGGGCTAGCCCGGACTGGGTCTGGGATGTCGGCGGGGCTCGTTACTGTCAGACGCTGCGTCGCGGTGGCGGGTTCTCAGGATAGGGTCTCTCAGCTTCTCCCCCTCTTCGCTTTGAGGCCGTGGAACAGCAGTATGAGGTGGGAGAGAGGCACTGGGGCGGGGCCATTAGGACGCTCGGGTCCTGGCTGCAAAAAGAGCAGTCAGAAGGGTCGTCCTCGGACTTGTCTTTCTGTGGGGCGTCTAGCCGCTGTCCATGTGCCCTCCTCCCTTGCACTATGGGCCCTGAGGTCGTACCTCCTTTTGTAGTGGTCTTTAAAGGAACGGCATTCTTAAGGTTTATTCATGCCCCTGCCACAGAAGAATAGTGGTGCTTTTTTCTCTTCAGTGCCCTCTAGAGTCATGGGCTTTGTCTAGCACCGCAAGAGCGAATTAATTTGGTTGTCTAGGACGCTTTCATCCTTTTCACAAGGACTGCGTACAAACCAGTTGTCATGGTTTGGCCAGTTGTGAGAAATGGGCTTGGAGAGGGGGATTATGTGCCTGGAAGATACACTCTCATTCGTTTCCAGAACGTCATGTGTCCAGAACATAGTGGAGATGTTTGTTTCTAATATCGATTGCAAGTGCTTTCCTACCAATCGTCAGGCATTTCAAGGAACAAGTATTTTAAGCTAAGTTGCTTTTGGTAGAGAAACCGTTAAACTTCGCAAATCCCAGCAATATCTAGGGGAGAGGAGAATGTGGTATGCAGGAAACGTCAACAGTATTGATAATTCTGAGCTTCATGTACTTCCAATATTTTGTTTCATGTAGATCAATATAATAAAAAAGAAAAACTAACGAATGCATTAGTGTTGGTGTTGTCATTATGCCAGTTCTTAACAGCCTAAGTTTAATCACCACTTATTTGGGCACCAGAGAAATCCTGACTTGCACAAGATAATTGGGTAAACACATGACCAATACTGTTGGGAGTTTGAAGCAACATATTAATGACTGTCTAGTAACTTCAGATTATTATTAAACTGTTGCTTATGACATAATATTCCTGTTTACTTGTAAATATGTTTTAACTAAAAACACCCACGTAAGGCTTATATAAGTAACTTAAGATTTTAGGCTGCAACAGTAACAGTTGAATTTGCAGTATAGTTTTGACTGTATAGAAATTACAGCACTCTGGAAATCATCCCAAGAAATTAAATACATCTTTTTAAAAATCATGCCTAACAGGTCTTTGAAATTCTATAACAATCAAATTCCCTATCTTCTACAAAGTTCAGTGTCTTTTTTTTTTTCTGGGTGGGGAGATTGTTGGATTTTTTGAATGGGTGTGTGATTTTTTTCTGGTGGTATTTAAGACTGATCTTTCCCCCTTTTTCCCAACAGAGTGGGTAACCATTGCCAATAGCCTTCTTTTTAAGTGTCATATACATCTGAGAATACATGAACTTCAAGACTGTGATGCTAATGTTTTTATTGCCCTTTATCAGTCTATTTTGGGAGAAAAGGTACCAGGTAAGACTACTAAAAGCAGGAGTAATTTTGCCTATATCTTAGGTCAGAAGTTTTTGGTCCTTTAGTTAGATGCTTTGGTATTTATAACATTTCATTTTCTCTTTGCCTATATATTTTTTAATATTGCATATTAAATTACATATTAATATACGATATTTAAATATCGTATATTAAATGGTATTTAATATTGCGTATTGTCTAATTATAATATTATATTCCTTAAGGAATACCCTGTGGAATCCACTCAATAATGGCCTTGAGCAGATCAGTTTGAGGGCTCCTGATAATCACTGGTTAATCCAATCATGGCTAATGCCTTGTGAAAGTTGCATCCTTTCTGAAAATGTACCTTCAAAGGTTGTAAAATTGAGTGGAACTTGGGAATTTATTGGATCCTGTTACTTAACCAGTGTTAGGGGTAAGAATTGATATTTGTACTTGATGAACCTAATTTACCAAGACAGTTAATAAGCGCATATGTCCTTTCATCTTGCTCCCCATCTCACTGTGTTCAAGAACAGGGTGGTACCAACTCAGCTTAAGTGATTCTCCCCTGTCTGCCTCCCAAAGTGATAGGATTACAGGCATGAGCCACCATGCCCAGCCTGTACTGACATTTTAAATCTTTATACCAATAATTCCAGTTGGCTACTCAAAAGGACATATAAGGGCCGGGCGTGGTGGCTCACGCCTGTAATCCCAGCACTTTGGGAGGCTGGTCATTTGAGGCAGGTGGATCACCTGAGGCTAGGAGTTCAAGACCAGCCTGGCCAACATGGCAAAACCCCGTCTCTGCTAAAAATACAAAGATTAGCCAGGCATAGTGGTGCACGCCTATAATCCCAGCTACTTGGGAGGCTGAGGCAAGAGAATTGCTTGAGCCGGGGAGGCGGAGGTTGTAGTGAGCCAAGATCACGCCACTGCATTCCAGCCTGGGCAACAGAGCGAGACCCTGTCTCAATAAATAAATAAACATACATATATATAAAATAATCTTCTAGTGCCTGCTGTGTTGTTTTTTTTTTTCCTCTCGTAGAAAGCAGCCCATAGTTATGGGTTAAAGTATCATGTCTTGGCTCCCTTACTAGACTATTAGCTCTCTTTGAATGTAGGGACCACTTTATCTTCCTTAACATGGTGCTTCTTGTAAAGCATGTTCATATATATATGTATATATAAATGGTGTAATAAATATTCAGCCAATATCCAAAATTGATAAATCGGTTCAATCAATAAATAACCAATAAAGATTCTGCTGTGTAGAGTTCAGGATTTATTAATTTTAATCTGTACTTTACAGCATGTTCTGTTTGGGCAGAGCTTTCATAGCAGTTGAGCATATTCAGTAGCCTAGTGAGAGACAATGAGATGAAAACTTGGCCTCTCATGGATACAAAATTATGTGATTTTTTTTTTCCCCCACAGACCTCATAGCTATTCCTAAGAGTCAAGAGGATGATGCACACAATGTACAAGCAGTAATTGATTCGCTGGCCTTGGATTACTTACAGGTCAGCTTGTCTCACATAACAGGTTGGTATATATTTAACTATCACATAATTATGCATTTTAGTAAAATAATTGTTAGAACTGTAGACATTGTTTACTTAACCAAATGATTGAGCTTATGGAGTAGACCAAGTTGTAAGATTGAGCTAAGGCAGTCAACTGATTAGAGGTCAGGCCCATGCATGAGAACTTTTCCAGGAGAGCTGAACATCGATTTTGCGATTGATCTGGGTCTGAAACGTGAGTATCCTAGCTGGTAATTTGAGGTATGTTTTTTGTTTTTATGTTATGTTGTTTTGTTTATTTTTATTTTTTTTGATTCAGAGTCTCACTCTGTTGCCCAGGCTGGAGTGCAGTGGTGCAGTCACAGCTCACTGTAGCCTCAACCTTCTAAGCTCAGGTGATCCTCTCACTTCAGCCTCCCAGGTAGCTGGGACTACAGCTGTGCACCACCATGCCTGGCTAATTTTTTCTATTTTTTGTAAAGACAGAGTTTTGCCATTTGCCCAGGCTGATTTGGAATTCCTAGGCTCAGGCAATCCACCTGGCTCCGCTTGTGAAATTGCTGGGATTACAGGCCTGAACCACTGTGCCTGGCCGTGTTGTTTTATTTTAAAGCATACTAATGCTTCTTGTTTGTGATAGCTAAAAATTAGAAACACCTAAATGTCCATTAGTAGGGACTGGTTAAATAAATCATAATAGTTGCATACAGTGGACTGCTCTGTGGCTATAAAAGATGATTGAATATACTCTGTGCACAATGTTCCAGGTTAGGGGAACAATCTGTAGCATCTGTGATGTGAGAAAAATGTAGTACAATTATAATGGTAATGTGCAGAGTAGTATGCTAGTGTTTGTAAAAACAAAGGTGTGGAGAAGATATTTGCAGTTGTTTGCAATCAGAAGGACTGTCTAGAAGCATATACAAGAAACTCGTAATACTGATTGCCTCCAACAAAGGGAACCTTAGGGTTGCAGGAGAAAGGGACAAGAACTCTCACTGTATACTTTTTGCACTTTCTGAATTTTGAACCATATTATCTATTCAAAAATTTTTTACTGTAATTAAATCTCCAAAATAAAGTATATTATGCTGTATTCTAAAACCAAGCATACAAAATATATTTACAGATCACTATATTATGTGTATTTCATTTATGTTTAGAAATGAAAGATTATTCCAGTAAGTTATTTCAAGCTTATGAATAGAGGGAATATTGATGATGTGAAACTATAATCACAAAAAGAGGATTTATACTGTTGATTTATTCTTTGATAGTTGTAA